ACATAGGATTTTGAAGGGAATGTGATTCCCTTCAATTTCTAAGGTTATGTAAGATAACCTTGGTTATGTTAGTTTATCTCTCTCTCTCACACACACACACACACACACACATATATATATATATATATATATATATAATTATTTTTATAATTATATATATATTTTATTTTTATTGTGTTAGGTTAGCATATAAAATAATTTTGTTTCTCAAGTTCAATATTTTAGTTAATATTTTAAAAACATGTAATTATATATGATACCGTTATCTTATTTATTTATTTTAATTTTTAAATTTATTAAAATATATAAAAATAGGTTAAGGATATTATAATGTGTGAATAAAAGATAACCCTAAACCAAACATGATTATATTACATACCCCAATTTTAACCAAACACAGGAATCTAACATTCCTGTAATCCAACATTCCCAGCAATCTAACATTCCCTAAGGTAATCTGACATTCCGTGAACCAAACGACCCCTTAGTATCTTACCCTCTACTCCTAATGAGTTAGTTACAGTATTAATTTCAAGATATTCTAAGTACTGTATTTTTCTAATTTATGGACTAACAAGGCTTTACTATAGTAAGTATAATACGGAGTAATTAAATTGGAAAGAAATAAATGAGTTCTGGCAGTAGCTACGTATGGATGACTTACAACTGGTCCACCTCTACCTCTGTCAAGCTCAAAAGACAACAAAAAAAGGAGACAAACATTTATCTCTAACACATCATTATCATCAGAGTGGAGCGGCCATACCTCTCCTTCTTTCATTGCTTTCAGCTTCAGATTGTAAGTTTTTAGGCTGTTGTAGTAAATCATCACATTCTCCAATTCCTATCCAACAACAAAAAATTGTTAATAATTAAAACAATTTTAAGTTAGATAGAAATTTTTAAAAGTAGTACGTGAAGAATCCATGGAAGTACCTGCGTCAGTGTTTCTTTGCTCTGCTTTAACTCTTCTATGTTACTCAGCCACTCTTCTCTACTCTGCAATTCATCAAAAGAAACGATTCAGGAAACAGGTCAGATCTTCACGAAAGCAGAGCATCCTGACAAGGCTTGAAAACGAGAAAGCGAGAAACAGAAATATCGAGTACTATACGTACCTTCTTCTTTGTGCGCTTGCGAGAAGAGCGTTTTTGTTTCTCATCAGATTCGGTTAGAGATAACGAGAGAGGCGTGGCGGGACTGGAGGCCGCCTGCGGCTTTTTGACTTTTCGTTCCGCCGTCTGGTTTTCATCGTCGCCGTGAGAAACTCTCGGCGGCGACTGCGATGGAGAGTCGTCGACGACGGCGCAGCTGGAAACCGCGAAGACGCGCTTAGATCTCTTCCTTTTACCGCTCCAACCAACCAGCAACTTGGAGATAGATTGAAACTCAGATTGCTGAATTATGTCCTTGAGATTCTCTAAGATAATGCAGACTTCGATCTCATCTCCCTCGAAAACAGGAGACAAAGCTGTTTCCCTGCTTGTACTCTGTAACGTCATCTGCTCCTCTTCAGACTTGCAGAGAAGAAGGATAAAATTGTGGAAAGAGAGAAGATTGGGTATGCAGAGGCAGAGAGACAGCGGGCGTAGAGGGGTTGAAGGAGGGTTGGCTTTTTATGGGAAAATCCATGGAAAGCGTATAGGTGTTGACACGTGGCCCTTTTAACTACAAATTGGGGGTGTCTAGGGTTTATACTAACTTTAGTTTCCAAATCTTTCTAAATGCAGCGGATATATGTACACTTTGAGGCGGCGAAAAAGAACCCCAAATTATGTGCGCTACTACGACCGGAAATATGGACTCCACCCGTCACCGGCCACGCCCAATCTGGTCTCTACTATAGATTGTATAAGAAATCCACAATAAAAAGACATGATATGATATATAAATATATAATGAAAAGTAACAATAGATATGTTATAGTTTTAGTGAAATGTTTATTTCGTAACAAACTATATCACTAATAAAGTACGGAGTATATTGGACACTACTAAATAATAAATAGTTTATGTTATTGTTATTTTGACACTAAATCTTAGTTATTAGTTATATAGCAAATACTATAGCATTTGATCAGTCTTTTATCACTTAGTGTACTAAGAAATCTTCTGGCTATCGGCGGGAGGGATACTATTGGACAAAAAAAAAAACAAATACTATAGCATTAATTACATGATCTTATTCATAAAAAAATGTATGATCTATAGTCTAATAATTACACATAACTTAATATATCTCCACCTAATTACTTATTTTGTGACCTAATCAACATTTGTACTCGAGTCTTACATGTGATTCTTACAATAAGATACATTTAAAAAAAAAAAAAAATATTATGGATCCTCATAGAAATAAAATTGCTCAAAATTTGAATTAAATAAGAGTTGATAAAAGAAATACAAAAAGTAAAGTGAAGTTTAGAGATTTTAGGCCTGCACGGGTTCAATAGACAGTATTTAGGATAAAAGATCAAGGTTCGAACATCGACGGTTGTAGTGTGGAGATTATGTTCAAAGTGAATAGATTTCTTGTGCACACTGACGTTTCGTCATGGATCTGTGCACACCGACATTTGACCATGTTTGTTGAGCCATTGAGTTGCCGTAATTTACATCTTCCCAAATGCTCCATCGAGTCGGTGTGTGGAGACTATTGAGGTTGAGGATTCAACCTTATGGGAGAAGTTTATAAATTTTAGGTTGAATTTCATTAAATTAAGAATTTTAAAATGTAATTTTTTTTTGAATTAATTCCCAAAATGGTCCTCCGACCATGACATTTTCTCAAATTGGTCCTTTGACTTTTAATTTTCTCAAAATGGTTCTCTGACTTTTGAGTTTTAAGCCAAAATGGCCCGTCGTTAGCCTTGGCATTAAGTTAGTGTTAAAATGAAGGGTAAAACTGAAAATTTAAAGCAATATGTGATTCCTTTCAGCAGTATGCGCACATATTTCTTCAAATTATGTTTTTGCTCTCTTAAATCTGCAATAAAAATGTGGGATAATCAACTAGAAGGCCAGAAATCTTTGCCTTGGGAAGTTTATGGATGAAGTTGAAGATTATTTTTTTGGCCTTCTAGTTGATTATCCCACATTTTGATTGCAGATTTAAGATAGCAAAAATATAATTTGAAGGAATATGTGCGCAGACTGCTAAAAGGAATCATAGATTACTTTAAGGGAAAATTGTAATTTATGCCCCTCACAAATGTCAATTATCAATGTTACCCCTGAATTATTAGTGGTGTAAATGTTGCCCCTCAATTTTAAAAACGTGACATATATTGCCCCTCCCCTGAATTATTAGTGATGTAATGTGGTTACCCGTCGACTTTCTTATTCAATTTATCACGTTTTTTTCCTCAATTTTCCTCTCTTCGCTTGTTCTCCTTCCGTCGACAACAATTTTTCTCCTTCTTCCTATTAGGGGAGGGGCAATATATGTCACGTTTTAAAAATTAAAGGGCAACATTTACACCACTGATAATTTAAGGGTGACATTGATAGTTGACGTATTTGTGAGTGGCATAAATTACAATTTTCCCTTACTTTAAATTGGAGTGCAAAACCTAAAGTTATAATTTTACCCTTCATTTTAACACCAACTTACCATCAAAGCTAATAGAGGACCATTTTGGCTTAAAATTCAAAAATTGAATGACCACTTTAAGAAAATTAAAAGTCAAGGAACTAATTTGAAAAAAATGTCATAGTTAGATGACCATTTTAAAAATTAACTATTTTTTTAATATATAAATGTTTAATCACCACTTTAAATTGATTTTATAATCAATCAAATAATGCCACATTATATGTAAATGAATTTATCTAAAAAAGTATATCTATTATCACATGTCCAAGCTAAACTTGGATGTGTATGTAATAATTGTGTAGTGTATATGTCAAACTTGAAAAAATTGATTATTATAAAAAATGGTATTTTTATATCTCTAATTACAAGAAAAAAATATATCTGCTATCGAGATATTTAATAAACTTTGTAATTAATAAAATATATGCCGCAAAGATGATAATTGATAGATTAAATATGGAGAACCTCATCTGCCAACAAGTGTGTCAGCGGCTAATTAACGACTTCTCCCCGGATTGTTTATATACAAATTTTGCAGTTAGGAAATGTCATAGAATTGTGTCTAGCTTTCAAGTATCTGCTATAAGACACGTTAATTAATCAGTGAATAGGCAGACTTATACGCTAGCCCGGGCCACCCATTCGAATACTGTTTTTTATGTGTGGGAGGATTCCCCTCCACACTGTATTTTCTCAAAAAAGTAAAATAAAATATGGAGAGCCTAATAATTAAGAGACTGAACTATTTTTTTTAATAATTAGAGACTAAAAGAGTAAAAGTGTTATTTATTTATTTTATAATAATAATAATAATAATAATAATAATTATTATTATTATTATTAGTTATTAGTTATTAGTTATAGTTACAGTTATTTGGATGAAAAAGAATGAAGGAAATGGGCGCATATGTATAATATATGCCACAAAGATGATAATTGATAGATTAAATATGGAGAATCTCTGTATACGATCAGACTGCCATCAAGTGTGCCAACTGATTAACGACTTCTCCCCGAATCGTTCATATACAAATTTTGTAGTTAAGGAATGTCTTAGAATTTTGTCTAGTTTTCAAGCATATGCTATAAAACACGTTAATAGATCAGTGAATGAGCATGCTCGTACGCTAGCCCGGGCCACCCATTCAAATACTGTTCTTTGTGTGTGGGAGGATTCCCCTCCGCACTATATTTTCCTTTTAAGCAATTGAGTTGATTTTTCTCAAAAAATAAAAATAAAAAAATATGGAGAGCCTAATAATTAAGAGACTGAACTACTTTTTTCATAATTAGAGACTTAAAGTGTTATTTATTTATTTATTTTATAATAATAATTATTAGTTATAGTTATTTGGATGAAAAAGAATGAAGGAAATGGGCGCATATGTATAATGTATTTCATCGACATATCTATCGTAGCGCGTTATTTACATGGGAATGAGGAAGTGAAAGCATTATGGCCATAACTATGAAGGCACCGATCAACGCCGTGAAGGCGTCGCTGAAGGCGCAACCGCCCAAGATTAAGATTCTTCTCGCGGTGATAGCTGCCGCCTTTCTCATCTATCTCCTCCACCTCCTCGTCGAAGAACAAGACAACCTCTTCGTCGCCGCCGAGGCCGTTCACGCCTTCGGCATTTCTGTCCTCGTTTATAAGCTCACCAGGGGCAAAAGTTGCGCTGGTACGTTTACAATTATATTTACATTATTCCTAGGGCTTTGAGCCTCTATTTCCTTATTATTATACGAATTTTAATGATTTTGCTATTTCTGCTTTGAATTTTGATTTCTATTGGGGGAAAAAATTGACTTCTTCCTTTGAATTGTCTCTGTAATGATCGAGATTCCTTTTACTTCTTTATGAGGGAAAAATGGAACCTGCCGTAATTAGCCATTTGAAGTGGCTGTAATCAAGAATGAGAGCATATAGATTAGCCAATGCAGTACGAATTTACTACGTTGTTTTTTCTCATTTTTGGTAAATTTTGTTCCGAGTATAGATGGCTTGTAAATGGTCTGCAATATTTAGAAAATAAAAAAGGTTTGCAGTTCATGCAATGTTAACTTTATTTTTCTTAAATCTGGGATATTAATTTGAATAATGATGTTCAATGGACTAGCATCTCAGAGTTCTGTAGAAAACCAGCTCTTCCAGAATAGGGCTATAAGTTAAACAAATCTTCATCCAATAAAGTGTTGTTATTTAAATAATAAAATGATCCTGATTAGGTTTTTAGAGTTCCTTTAATAACATGCAGATTTTGAACAAAGTCAAATTCTGCTCATTTGTGTTCATGAACAATCTCTTTAAACTATTGGTTTTTTTTTGTTTGTTTGTTGTATTGTTTACTTGTTTGTGAATGAACTAAACTTTTGTTTTGTTTGACATTGATGGGAGATAAGTATTGTGACTTGTGAGTTGTGACCCCTAATTCCCTATATAAGACTGGCAGACACCCATATGCAACAAAGATGTCCCATTTGGGACTCTTGAGTTAAATAAAGGTCCAAGAGTTGCATTTGTGGACATCGACATTGTGCAATGCAACAAGTTTGGTTGCAGGTTTGAGGTATATAGTTTATTTAGCTTTTAGTCAATCTCAAATTGGGTGTGAGTACTAATGATTTTAAAGAGTTGTGCTCAAATTGAGTTTGAGTGCTAAAGATTTTAAATGCTTCAAGCTCTAATATCTCTTCAAAGAGCTCAGCAAGCTCAAACAAACATGAGAATAAAACATTTTTAATATCTTCTTTCCATTGTTGCTAGTGTTAAATATCTTTTCTTGGGATGACTTTTTCTTTTGGTTTTGGGGTGCTGTCAAAATGAAATACTTGTATATCTCCTACTGCTTCAGAGAATGGATACTCATAGATCATAGCAGTATGTAAAAGTTTAGATATTTTAACTCATTATGCAGTTGCAGACACCTTTCTTTATATGCCACTTATATAAATGGTATTTACATGTAAATATTATACACATAAATGCAGTATCTATGCGTATACGCAGTACAGTAATAAGTGAAGTGACACGCTTGTGCTATGTTTATCATTACAGTGAAACTTGTGCCATATCAATTGATTTGTTTTTGTTTTTTTTTTTTTTTTTTAAACCATGAAACAAATTGTTATAGAATTTTAGAGTTGCTGCATTTTTCTTTTATTTTCTTTTTTTAATTTATATTATTTTATTACCTCAGTAACTTGCTTAGTTGGCAAATGCCAGGGCCTTGACCCAAAAGGTTAGGGGTTCACACCTCTCTAGGACTAGTCTTGCTGAGGTAGTTCTACTCTCTCCTTAAAAGAGGGTATTTAGTTTCTATTTCTATGGTATTATAATTAGTTATTGTATCTTGTAAATGAAGATTTAATACTTTTCATTTATTCAGAGACTGCAATGATTGTTTATACTTATTGAGCTAAAAAAAAGGGGAACTTCCCCTTTCTAGGAGGGTATACTTATATTTAACTTTTTTTTTTTTTTTTTTTTTTGGGGTTGAAAATGTTCAGGACTTTCACTGATATCACAAGAACTCACAGCTATGTTTTTAGCTGTAAGACTTTACTGCAGTATTGTCATGGAATATGACATCCACACGGTTCTTGACATGGCTACATTGACAGCAACAATATGGGTCATTTATATGATCCGCATTAAATTAAATTCCAGTTTCATGAATGACAAAGATAATTTTTCACTATATTATTTGGTGAGTATTCCAATGTCTGCCATTCTTCTTCTTTGAGGTGGGGTGGGGGTAAGAGTGTATGATTTACAGAATATATAATCTCTCCTTTTTTTTCTCACTAAATTTGGAAATAGGTTGCACCTTGTGTTGTGCTTGCTATGTTTGTCCATCCCTCTACAAATCATCACATCGTCAACCGTGTTTGCTGGGCATTTTGTGTGTATTTGGAAGCTGTTTCAGTATACCCTCAGCTACACGTCATGCAGAACACAAAGGTAATACAAAGACCAAACATGGTTCTCCTATCAAATTTGTTACTTTTTGAATTTTATTCTAATATGGTCCATGTCGATTTCTTGTTAGGTTATCGAACCATTCACGGCAAATTATGTTTTTGCGCTAGGAATTTCAAGGTTCCTAAGTTGTGCACATTGGATTCTCCAGGTCTGATTATGCAAAACTTAGTCCTAGTCCTGCTGCTTGTCTCAGTCCATTGGATAATATTGCTTTTTTAATGCATCAAGAGTCAAGACTCAATGGACAAACAATTGGCAGTCCCTTATCTCTGCTCCCCTATTGTTGTTTTCTTTTATTTTATTTTTTCCTTCAGTCCCTCTAGATGATAGCTCCATTGATTCTTCTAGACTGACCAATGGATAATTAAGTGTCATATTCAACATGATCTTGAATGAGTGGACCTATAAGCATTGAGAAAAATCTTCTTTAGTGCCGCCAATAAATGCACCTATACACTTAACTATGATTTTAGCTCGTGAGCTCGTCTTTATGGTCTAACAATCTTTAGAGAATTTCTTCCACACCTTAGGAGTAGCTATGCCTTGATTCTTGAAGGAAAAACTTTCTAAATGAGGGATTCGGGCTATAATGGGTCATTTCATGAAGACAATACATATTGGAAGTTTAACTCCTTGTATACCAGGATGCTGCTGGTTTACAACACTTAGTCACTCACTAATAAATTTTCTTCTTGAAAATGGAAGGAAGGGCAATAGGGCATGCTTTTAAAGGTCCTGACATTGTATTAATTCAGAAGATAAACTTATGACAAGATAACTATGGGATTCCTCTTTACTATAGGAGATCATAAATTGCCTTGTTACTTCTATTATAGGGTGGTTATACATACACATGCACACGCAAACAGAGTGGTTATTTCTTTATTTATGTGCTTTGCTTTTATGATCCCCTTCAAGTTCAACCATTATGCATACTCAAAGTTATCTGATGTACTTTAGCTAATGTTATCAAACATCTGTGCAGATATTAGATACTCAGGGAACCTTGTTAACCGCTCTGGGTTATGGATTGTGGCCATCAATGGTCATCCTTTCTGAAATCATCCAAACGTTTATTCTCGCAGATTTCTGCTACTATTATGCTAAATGGTATGTTCCGACCTTTAAATATCCTGAAGTAATACACATGATGATATTATGCATTTCCCAAGAGTAGTATTTATGGAATATTTATTTATTTTTTAGTTTTATTTATTTATTTGTAATTTACTGGTTACAGCCTTCTTGGTGGAAATCTCGTGATGCGGCTTCCCTCAGGTGTAGTGTAACATACTAAGATTTTGTCAAGTAGGAATTCTTTTGGTTCTTCAATAACATCCTGTTGGCATCAAAATGGGTCAATTCTGGGATGTTTTAGTGTAAAGTTTGAGCTTCGGTTTACTGGTTCCCTGAAGTTAGGAATATGCTATTAACACGTAAAAACCTCTGTATACTGCAACTCATCAACGTATTAGTAGTTGCATAGTAATCTTTTACTTTGTTGAATCCCATTCTCTTTGGCACAAATTTGGTTTAGTTAAAATTTTTGTGATTAAATAAGGTCTGCATAGTTCAAAGTCTTACTATTAGTTGTGGCTCAACTATTCAAGGTAAACATTTCTGCATTTTAGTGGTGAAAGGTAAGAAAAGAAATACAATTGTCTAAATATAATTGACTTTTTAAAAAAAAATAATAATAAATTGTGGCACTATAAATCCCTTAAATTTAATTTAAAAAATACAAATATTGTGTGAGCATTGGCAAACTGGTTCTTTCAGATGAGATTACAAAACTCAGAAGACTTGTAATTTCAGTATTCAACCTCCTTTACATGTAAAGTGCAAACAAATGCTGGGCAATCAAACAGAATTACAATAAGCACAAAGACAAAATCAGATGGGTAAATGGTATTCAATAAAATTCAGTCTGGTGACAACAGAGGTGCCATATATTGTTGATGCCAGATAAAAGTGAAAACAGGGTGCCATGAGCCTTCATTCCTGCTTTTCCAGTTCACCCATTCTCTCTATGATGGCCTGCAGTTGGTGAGAAGTGATTCGTCAAGTGCCATACTTGTCAACCCAAACTCAATCGTGTTGTCGTGCATTGCATTCAAATAGTTTGGTGAGTTATCAAATCACAGATACAAAGGGCAAAACATTATGGTTGAGTTCTTACCTTCTTACTTGTTTCTTGGAGCTCCCCAGCAAGAATGAACTCATCCAGAATCAGATATACCTTTGTAGAACAGTAATTAATCAGAAAACAGCGAGGATACGTGTGTGCATGTATTACATTGCTTGGTAACTAAAAGCATAATCTACATTTGCAGTCACCAAGACATGCGACAGAAAAGACCCATTCACCACCCCTAATTTTCATATTCATGTGGTGTATGGGACTATTGTCTAGTACAGTATGGTACTATGAATATGTTTTACCAAATATTATCCACCATATAGTTTATTTATCATAAAATTTAAGACCATGAAACCGTCTTCTATATTCACTAAACAGAAAAACATCACGTGCAAAGGCAAAATTAAGTATACCAATTCCATTTCCAAAATGTACTTATCATCTGTTTGATAGGCAGCAAAACTAATACAGATAAATTAAAAAAACAAATCTTTTCTATGAAAAGAAGAATAAACTCCATATGAAGTATGACCAATCGTTGCTTGTGAAAAGAAATGCATTTCTATAAAATAGCAATCGAGATTCAGTAAAAAATGCCTAACCTTGTGAAAGTTAAAAACCAAATCTAACTCGCAAACATTGCTGAAGAAGTGATCCAAAATCTCCACAAATAAGTGGATGCACTCCAAATAAGCCAACTCATTGTCTGTTATATCAACACAGAGCGAGAAAAACAATCCCGCATATCGCCTGTAGATTATCTTGTAGGTCCGGAACTGAAGGGAGAAAAAACCATGGACAATGCATTACTATCTGTGTAGTGTAGTTTGATAAGATATTTACACTAGTTAGAAACTAAACCAACAAATTTTTGAGACTACAAATACAGAAACAAGGATGACTTAACAACAGTTAATTTGGACATGTTTAACCAGATTTATTAAGATAGATTTGCTTTACCTCTCCAAGATGAACTGGCTTAAATAGGTAAACCCAATTAATAAACGGAACATATTCAAATGAAACCAGAAACAACTCCTGCTTATATACTTCCTCAAGTTTATGCTACCATACTTTAGAAGATGAGCAGAATATGAGAAGTAATATCCTCCAATTTACACTCAATTCTTCCATCTGTTGCAGTCCAAACCAACCAAAAAATGCAAATTGATTTCACTTACACGTCTCTCTCTCTATCTATCTCCTATGCAAAATTCACTTTCTGCCAAATTCTTCACTCTCATTTACTTTTCACCAACAAAGCCGACCAAAGCAATGCTGTTTGAAATGCACCTCAAGGGCAACATGTTCAGCTTATGTATCTTCTCAGTACAGATAATACAATCGCACTTTACCCTAAGATGAGCTAAGACTTGTGTATACCATTAAATTTCAAAGGAGAAAAGGTGCAACTATAGTGATTAAACAAAGGAGTAGAATATATGTCAAGTAATAGGAACATGAAACAAAGAATTTTACACACACACCTCGACGAAGTTGGTGAATTTGGGATCTCTGTTCACAACCAATCTGTGAACCTATACAAATCGATCGTGTAAGCAAAACCTAAACCGTCAGGCTTAACACTAGAAATATGACGAAATTGAGTTCAACTAAGGGATCAAGGTAAACACAGTACCTCGTATTCGACTTTGTGCTTCTCGGATTCCTCCAGAGGAATGTAATACTTGGCCAATCGAGTCTTACCTTGCCGGTTCTGGAGCAGTATGAATCGGATCTAACCATTTAAATACACAAAATTAGAACTATAACCACTTTGCCTGAAGAGAAAGTCGTAGAATTTTCAAATGAAATGCTTGAAATTACCATTTTCAGAGTATAAACTAGCACAAAACAAGTGCTTGAGTTGATTCAAGCTCGCGCTAAAAGGAAATCAGAAGCTTTTTCCTTCCCTCCTCCGCCGCCGGGAGAGCGGTGGCTGGAGATTCGGGTCCGACTGCGACGAGAAGTCAGAGTTCAGAGTCGACGATCGAGACTGGCGTAAAAACTCAATGCTGAATTTCAGGTTTTCATCTTCTTTTTATTTCCATTTTAACTAAAAAAAAAATATTATTTTTGTAATTTATACCAATTTTTATTTTGTAATTGTAATTTAATCCTTCCCCAATTTTGACTAAAATTGATTTTGTTACATTTTCTAATTATCTTATCCTACAGCCTTACATTATTTTATTTTATTTTTTTTTAAATGTCCAGATGGGTGATCGAATGATGAAACAGGAATTGTACTAAAGATTGCAAGTTTATTTTTTGACTTATGATAAATTGGCAAAGGATAACAAAGAATAAAACAACTAAGATAGTCGACTCAAACTTAGCCCTTTGCATTCGGTTAACCAAAAATTTTAAAACTTTTACCGTTAACTGAATCAAACTTTTTATTACCAAATTAACAGAACTGAAATTTTTTTAGTTAATTGATCGATTAACCAATTAATCGAATTTTATTTTAGCTAAATTTTTAAATCCTTAAAATTATAAATAAAAATTAACATTATCAATATCTATAAAAAAAAAATACAAAAATAATACAATAAGAACACTACAAATATAAAAAGTGTAAGTATAAATAATAGTTAACCAAAAAATATATTAACCAAAATTCTTTGGTTAGGTCGGTTAACCAAACTTTTACCAAAGTTTGCACACCCCTATTCAAACTAAGAAGATCAATAGATTAGGTTGAGTTACCTTCTTGTGTTCCTTTGTTAAGCTAGAATTACAAGGCGCGCGGTTTCACTGCACATTCGGGTAGTGATTGTTGGCTTTTTCTGTAAATCAAAGCTCTTGCGGAAATTGAATTGAATTTGGAATTTTGTGGCTACTAAGCCAACTATCTAACCAACTTAGTTGGGATAGCATTGGTTAGCCAGAGATGGACCGAGACACCAGTGTCAAACAACCTAGCTAGTACGGATTTGAGGGGATGGAGTCCATAGTATCTGTTCATACATACTTTCTCAACCTGTTAAAGCACAAAGAATCGACATCGCCTCCATTGAGACTTGATCTCATGACCTCCCATATGGGAGAGTCGATCACTATATGCTACATGGAGTCTTTAATTTACATCAAAATCATACTTAAAAGCTAGTCCAACTTCCTCAAGGAAAGAATGCTATAGGGTACGAGTGGGTCTATAGGAAGAAGCCAATAGTATCATAAAAGGGATGGGAAAGATTCAAAGTTCGATTAGTTGCGAAGAGTTTTCTCAACAAAAGGAGATATAGTTTATGATTAGTTTTTCTCTCTTGTTGTTAGACATATACTTCTATCATGTTAATACTTGCTGTGATAGCTATTTGGAATTTGGATTTGGAGCAAATTGATGTGAAGAATGCTTTTTGCATGCATGGTAATATATATAGATGAACAAATTTTTATAAAGCAACCTGAAGAGTTTGTTAAATTATTTGTAGGCTAAGAGGTTTTTCTATATATGGGCTGAAACATGCTCTAGTACAATGGTACAAGCGGTTTGATTCTAGCTTACATGATTCAAATTGACTCCGCACGTTGTGAATATGATTGGTGTGTCTATGTTAAGAGTCTTAGTAATGGTTCTTTTATTTGTCTGTTACTGTATGTGGATGATATGTTAAATTGTTGCTAAGAGTAAAAATGATATTATTGCATTGAAAGTTTTGTTAAGTTAGAAATTTGATATGAAAAACTTAATAGTTGCATTCGCAGGGATGGAGGTCCAAGGAAATTGTTACTAACTCAACATAATTATATTAAGAAAGTCTTTGACAAGTTTGGGATGAGTATAAATTGGTTAATAAACATTTGGTTAATCATTTTAAGAAATATGGCAAATGATCCTGCCCGTGCAGTGCAATTAGCTGTTAAATGTATGCGATGTTTTGTTGTCGACTTGATTTTGACTTAATCTATGCGATGTACTCTTAAGAGTCAAACGGAACATTGAAGTAGATTAAAATTCAACTCCACATGCAGGATTACAACAATGTATAATAGGTGAATGTAATTTTGAGTAATATATAAATATAATACACAATTTACAGATAAAAATGCATACACAAATCAAACCATTAACACACAAACATACATATATATATATATGAAGAACGAGAAAGCAGATTGGATGATTGATGAAATAATCATGGGATCGATGATGACGCCAGTCATTATTCCAGCACAGTATATACACGTACACCTGGTCAGTTGAGTTACTTTGCAGCGGCGCCGGAGTTAACATGGTGCGAGGAGGAGGAGGAGGACTTGTTGAAGAAATCGATGCAATCCGCCACGGCTTCGCTGTAGTGCGAGTTGGAGGAGTAATAATAATAGTTACAGGACGACGAGCTGCACGAAGTCTTCGGCGGCTCCGCCATTTCACACGACCTCCTCCGCGTCTGTCCCGAACCTGCAGAAACCGCAGAAGAAGAAGAAGGCATGGAGAAGATGAACCTCATCACGATTCTCCGAAACCGATCAAACAGCTTCATGCTCGAAAGATTCATCTTATTATTATTACTAACATCATTACCATTCTTCTTCTTCTTCTTCTTGCTCTTCTCCTTCGTCTGAATCCGAGGAAATCTGTCTGCCGCAGCAGGCGTTCTGCGGGACTGAGATTGCAGACGATGAGGCTTGTGATTATCGTAGTACATTCTGTCCAGGACTTGCAGAACTGTCTCGGGGAGATTTAGCGCGATCATGTCGTCTTACGTTGTTTGTTTAATTTGTTGGTGGAGATGGAGATTTGAGGGTATTTATTGTGGTCCGTTTGAGAGGCGGTGAGCTGCGGGGTGCAGGGAGGAGAGACGACAGGTGGGGATCGGATGAGAATATTTCGTAAAGGAATTGAAGATGATAGATGTCTCAGGCTCTCAGCTCAGCCCAACCATGTGATCAAATCATTTGCATGGGGCTTCTCCTCTCCACGCCACACTACAAATTAAAAATACATAGCTAGCTAGGTTATTAAGGTCCACATACATAAGGATCATTACGAGGAAGCTAATATTTTGCTTATAATAAGCACCTACAATTCTAAAAGATAGCTAGCCGCCCTCCGTGCTTGATTAACTAACAGACAAACAACTTTTAAAAGTCTCCATCTTAGGGATAATAATTCTACCCGCACGGTCCCACCCAATTAGATCCCTGCATCCTAGTTCCTCCGGATTTTAAAATACGCGCACAATTTGAGTAATGGGTGCGGGAAAGGTATTCCCGTACCGCACCCGCACTTATATATATTGTTATTAGTATTCATCTATTATATAAGTTTATATATATTTTATAATTAAAAATGTATAATGAATTAAACTTCTAACTTCATGGACTCTTATTAAATTTTAGAGTTATGTTCAAACTTATAAAAAAATTCATGTGATAATTAGAATTGTAGTATAAAAATTTTATTAGATTTAAGTGTAATATTAATAATTAGAGTTGCGGGATGGGCATTACACGCGCCCGCAAAATCCTTGCAGAGGCGAGTATGAGGTAGGAATTTCATTACCCGTACGAGTGCGGAGAGTGAGTTGAGAATGCGGGTGCGAGACACCCACCCCGCCCCATTGTCATTCCTACCCTAGCTACACAATATCATATCTACAAGTATTTGTTGGTTTCATTAAACTCCGTCCAATATAAATTATGTGTACGTGTTAACTACAATTTTCTTGTAAGATATATCAAAATCACAAGTAAAATGTAATGAAATATGCTTTTTATTCAAAGAGAGAATATGTGTTATTATAAAAAGAATGTGTTATTTTTCTCTTTTCTATGAGTTTTTATACGACATGACACATTTAAGTTTTAACACAACTTATTACTAATATAATGGTCAATTTCTAATAGCCAAGCAATTCAATAACAACAAAGCTGTGATGTTGCATATATGTTATATATTAAATAAGAGTAATATTTGCCGAAGATCTAATCCTAAGGACACCATGTTGAAGGTGCATTTCAAGGACAATATGCACTATCCAAGGGATCTCCAAAGACATCCTGTCCGTGTAATTTTGTCAAATTGAAGCTTTTGGAGTAATTAGTTCAAGAAATTTTCATAGATATATACACACAAGCTACGGACCGTGATAGGTACTGATGGTACTTGGTGGTAAAAACTATTTTGAAATCTCGTTAATCTAACCCGACACATTAAATGGAACAGAGGAGTATTTTATTTTGAAAATAAAAGTTAATTTTAACCTTTCAAAAAAAAGTTAATTTTAAATTAATGAAAACCCCAATATGCTTAATCAATGCCCAAAGTTCCAACAATATAAATTGTAAGCTTGTAACCCATGATTGAGACTGAGTTTGAAAAGCAAGAACCAACTTAAACTAAACATAGTTTGTGGGCTACTTTGTTCCCTAACATATCACTCATCAATGAGTACACGGTGTGCGCGGGGCCTATAAATAATAAACAAAACATACTTATCAATAATAGTGAAAACAATTTTCTATTTTAAACTTGGTTTCTTGAATGCTGATGTTCTGACCGGGCCCAACCAATGATTTTGTCCTAATGGGCGGTGTTATAGGCCCAAAAAATCTCTAACTGGGCTGTCAAACCCAAACCCAAGGACTCATAAAATTGGACCAAGATATAGAGTGTATAATATTGTAATTTCCTTATTATATGTTGAGACTATATTTTAATTTTTAAGCATTCAAGACTCATTATATATATGATATGTTTTGTTCTCAGCTGAATTATGTTCATCTGATTGAAGTGTTGTTTTTTTTTTTAATATGTGATTTAAGTCGTGCTCGCAGAGTTTGACTCTTACTTGATGAATTATCTTAAAGTTCTTTAATATGGCTCACCCTTTACAAAGTCTAAATCTCTGACCTTTCAAGTTATTTACTACTTCCAATAATTGCCACATTTGGTCCGATAACATTGACCAAATTTGCCCCAAAACGTCCCAAATGCTCACACTTTCGCCAATTTTCACCATTCTTCAAATAACGGAATTTAAGCTACTTTGAACCAAATTTGATTAATTTGTAAAAGTCAAGTTGAGGTAATTAATTGTTGACCCTAAACTTGAGATGTCAACTTTGCATTGAATAGTTCTCAAAAAAAAAAAAAAAAAAAAAAAACCTTTGCATTGAATATATATTAAAGCACTCTTCTATTTGCAATCTCGCTAGTCGCGTCAACATATTTTGACTAAAGCAATCATACATTTTGGTACATTTTTTTTTTTCAAAAGTTCACATCCGCTTGTAAGTTGTAACATCAATCGCGAGTGTTTCATTACTTACCACCAATGTTGTAAAAATCGGCTTAAACGGTCACCTAAGCCAGGACCGAATTTTAGGCTGTGCAAGCTGGGCTACCGCATAGGGTCCCCAATTTTAGAAGGGCATCAAATTTTAGAAGTTCAATATTTAATTTTTGAGTTAATACCCAAAATCGCCCTCGGCTATAGTGGTTTTTCTCAATTTCGTCCTAAACGACTTTGGTGACCTAATATCGTCCCAGAATTTTGTGTTTCGCTCAATTTAGTCCTCCATTTGTTATTCCGTCAAATTGGTGTTAAATAAAGGGACAATTCAGTAATGTCAATATTGATCTCTCTTTACTTTCAACTTGTGAAGTGCGAAATTCCTCTTTCTTGTACGAATTACACCCAGAATTACTCCCGGACCTGCAAATCAAATTTTATATTCGCAGTTTTAGGAGTAATTCCGGGAGTAATTCGTAAAAAAAAAGGGATTTTGCAGTTCACATGTCTATGAGTAAAGAGATGCCAATATTAAAATTACTGAATTGTCTATTTATTTAACACCAAATGGACGGAATAACAAATGAGGGACTAAATTGAGCAAAAACACAAAAGTCTGGGACTAAATTGAGCGAAATACAAAAGTCTGGGACGATATTAGGTCACCAAAGTCGTTTAGGACGAAATTGAGAAAAACCACTATAGTCGATGACGATTTTGGGTATTAACTCTTTAATTTTTACCTAACTAGTTTAGAAATAAAAATTAAAAGTTTTCAATTAAACTTAAAAGGTTTTACGAAGAGATGGTAAGAATGTGTATTTATTATATTTTAACTTGGATGTCAAATGTTCGAAACTTGCATTTATTGATTTTAAAAATTGTGATTTTGGTAGGGCCACATTTATTTACCAACCCTAGGCGATTTTTAGTCAGTCTACGGACTAACCAACCGAATAGGCCCCTTAGACACCGAGTCAAGCGCCTAACTCGACTGAGTCAGTGTCCAGCTCACTCGAGTTGGCACTTAACTCGGCCGAGTGGTTTTTTTTTTTTGCATGCTCGGCTATTCCTCTTCTATATTTCTTCAACCATGTACTCAACTAACCATCTAACATATACAATTGACTAGTTTGAGAATTATAACAATCTAATAACTCATAGCCCTGAATGAAAAAAGTGAATACAGTATACTCGAATTACTTAACCGCCTAGGCGCTAAGTGTCCACGAACGCCCGACTAACATCTAGCGCGTTCTGCAACATTGCTTAGCTTACAACTAAAATTAAAATATATACACTCACATGCATATAAAATTCGATCAAATATAAACATTTTATTTGAATACACAACAGAATCTTAGTTAATTAATTACAACAAAATCACATGCATAGATATTAGCTGGCTGACAAAAGCTGGAAGTTTCTTACTGCAGTTCATTTTCTGAATTATTTTACTAATTACAAAGCTTATAGTAGCTGCTATTGTCCTCACTGTATAATACTTTACTACATCGAGGGAGAGAGCCAAGACGGAGGCTCAACTCATACACACAAAAATTTGACTAATAACTTAAATTAATCACTGCTAGCTAGCTAGAGCTTATTGGAGAGAATTAAGGAATCCTTGTAAATCTCTCCATGTACTATATATTTATTGCACATGACATAAATGTGATTGGACAATTAAAGTACATTCAATAAATAATAGATTAAAATATATATAGTTTCATGTTTCAGTAACAAATTAAAATAATAACACGTACTTGTAGTCCGTAAATCTCAAGTTTTTATTAGGAGATATGCTAGTTATTTTAAATAATTTGAAGAGAGCCCTAAAATTTCAAGATCGATGATTAACTTTTCTGAAGGATTGATCTCAACCTGATTAGTTGAGAGATGTGTGATGGTAGGTCAAATAAGTATGTAAATTAGCATTGCAGTCCGAAAATATATATAGATTGTTAATTTGTTATAGTTGTAGTGTGAAAATATATATAGATTGTTAATTTGTTATAGTTGCTTGAGAATAAAGTAGCATTGTATAATCAATAGTCAACCCTATTTTTTCAAAAAAAAAAAAGTCAATCCTAACAACGTTAGCCTACTTGCAAGGTATTATCCTGTTATAGGCAACTTGGACCCCTACACATTAGATTATGTGCTATCTTTATCTATTTGTACATGTAAAAAAGTCTACTTTGAGAGGTTGCTTCCACACTGTTGCTAGTGAGACTCAACCCATGGTCATTCTTCCAAACTTTCACCTTTATAACCAGTTGAGCTGCCCATGCAAATATTATTATTATTATTATTATTATTATTATTATATGATGCATGCAGGTAAATTAAAGCATGGTTGGTTCAAAAGATGGAGTTTGGTCAAAAATCAGCTTACACTCTCTTTTCCTCTAGAGAGTGAAGACATATCATTGCCATATATGGTCCCAATTCACGACGGATAACCCACATGCAACTTTCAATACATGCACCAACTCATCAAAACAATAATTAGAATATATATATATATATATATATATATATATATATATATATATATATATATATATATATATATATATATATATATATATATATATATATATATATATATATATATATAATCATTATCATCTGTCATCATGATTCAGATAAATATAAGCAATGAAAAAAAATACTTAGTAAATTAAATTATTTTTACTAACTCAATTAATTCTTTAAACTTAGTTTATGATCATCATCATCATCATTATGCGATTAATATAATTACACTGTCCTTAAATTGTGGTCCGATCCTTTGACTCCTTTCTCATTCCGTTCAGAAATTTCCACAGCAAAAAGCTTTCCTTTGATCATGACCCATCCACATCCAGCTAGCTCGATAAAGCAGCGAAAGGGATCGGTTAATATTATATTTATTTTTCTTTAGTTACAACTTACAATATATACTGATATTATATTTTATATTTGTTAAAATTATTTATTTATAATAATTCTAACAATATTACAAAAATGACACTATATTCACCAAGGCCACTACATTATACAGAGTAACAAATAACACTTCTCAATATTCATTAATATTCTGACATTTTCCCGTCATTCAGTTGTCTTTTAAGTGGTTATGTTAATCAACTCTAACAAAATTTATGAACAATAAGTGATAATGAATATAATCGACCCGTAAAAGTTGTTACAGAGTATTTTTTTAATAATTAATGAACTAAAAGTGTTAATTTTATCCCGTAAGACTACTTCAGCTGGTTTAACCGATCTTGTCAAAGCTAGTCTCGTTTCAGCAATAGCGTGATTACTTTGATTGACCTTGACTACTGTTATGAGACGATAGAGACCTATGATTCGCGATTTACCTACCTCTTCTAGCAACTCATAAATAGGAGTTTTGAGAACTTAAGATTAGTCTATTATAAGTTGAAATACTTAATGTAAAAGAAAAATACAAGCTAGTTTTGATATAAAAATACAAACTATTCCGTAATTAAATATACAAGAAAACTTCCATAATGGGTTGGATTTTGTATTTTTGGTTTGACCTTTTAACCCACCAGAAGTAGTTATGCAAGTGATGATTAACAGACAGAAAACTAAACCGTACAAACAGCTGAAAGACAAAAAGATGCCCTATTCAAACCTAAGATTCCATAGCTTTATAGATCACAACAAAGCATGGAAGTATAGCCCTCGGATTAAATACGTATAATTCCTCCAGATTCGAGTATATTCCTCCGTATCCGGCTACCGACTCGTACGACCCGGCTGAAGCCGACAAGCCGCCGGGACCAGCTTCCTCATCTCCCGCGCCCGTGTCCTCCACCACGCGCCGCACTCTCCCGGCGATCACCCGGCACACCAGCATCGCCCTCCGCCCGTCGCTTCCGCCGTTGGGGCAGTCGTGGGCGCGGCCGCTGCTGGCGGTGGTGCGGATCCCGGCCACCTTGTTGCCCTGGAAGCCGTGGCGTATGATGGTGCAGACTCCGCAGCCCGGGAGCGAGCCGCACAGGCTGGACGAGCCACGCGCCCCCAGCGCGCACGTGAGGGTGGTGCAGTAAAACCTGAGCAGCTCGTTCCCGTCGGCGGCGCACCTCGGGTTCTTCTTGCCGGCGGCGTTGGCGCGTATCTTCACGGCGTCCCTGCAGTCCTCGAACCGTTGGATCGTGCGCTGCGTGTTGTGGACCTTCAGTATCCGTTCGATCTTGCAAACCGGGTTGTCCTTCTTTAACCAGCTCGACTTGAAGATTATTTCCACTATATTCCGGCTCGAATCCTCCGGTCCCAGCTCAGAAACTGATAACATCATTCCATAAACCAATAATTAACCTTACTAATTATTTTAACCAAAAAAAAAAAATTAATTTCCAATTTGGATTCAGAAAAATTTTAAAAATCAATAACAATATTATCCCAGTGGTTGTTGAGCCATCATGTGTTCATAATGTCAGCACAAGAACTATGAAAATCCTAGTTATAAACATTTGAATAATACACTCTAACTCCTACTTTTAATTCAAACGTGACACACTCTTCAATTTGGTACAACTTACAAGTTACACACGAAATATATTTGAACAATACAGTCCACCTTCTACTTTTAATTCAGATGAGACACACTTTTTAATTTAATATAATGACCCGCCCACACACTAAATATGCAGTCCAACTAAAATATTTGAGTGGGTGATGAAACAAAATCGCAGTCACTATTCGATGGTGTATGTGTACTGGGTAAATTCAGCCTTGTAACCTTAACCAGTAAATTAAAGGACCACATCACATAGCTAACATGTTGGAATAAAAATGTGACAGGTAATATTGGAGGGTAGTTTTCGATTTAATGAAGGGGTAGGCCTGGGAAATAAATACAATGGACCATATAAGGAGTTACAGTGTACAATGACTGCTCAGGAAAAGAAAGGCAAACAGAAGCGGCAAAGTCTTTAATGCACCCCAACAATGGCGTCCTTTTTGTGTGTGATTTTACCAGAAAAAATAAAACCAGAATTTAGTGCGGTTTGCCTCTACTTCCAGAATTCCACCTTTCTCTTTCAAATATTAAAGAGGCCAGAGGTGTATATATATAAATATAAATAAGGTAGGTGAACTGAAATTCAATACGGAAATTCAAAAAATAGTTTTATGTTATGTTATATACTCGGTATTTACTTACTTTGAGATCAATATATGGAGAACGAAAAGATAGAGAGGTTAAAAAAAGTAAATTTACCAGCATGTCTAACAGCTTGATGATGTTCCAGGCTCTCAATCTTTGGGAAAACCTCTCCACAATCTGGGCATGCGCATATTGTTCTTGGCATTGGATATCTATTATTTTTAATTTATTATTAATTTTGTCAATATATACATACATCCACACATATATAAACCAGAGAAATATAACACTAACATATGTAACATGCACAAGATAATATTGAAGCATAAATGAGGCAACCTAAAACTAATTAATCAATTCACTAAGCTAACCAATTATTGGGTGGCGAAGAAAATTCACAGCTACTATTCAAGAATGTACATTGAGCAAATCTCGCCTTACGATTTTAGCTGACAAAGAACTATGCTAACCAGTCTAGATTGCTTATAGCTGACTGACTCAAACCAACTAAGCTAACTTTCTTTTTTGGGTGACGATAGAAACTAGCAAATTAAACCAGTTTTGGTTGTTCATAGCCGACTAATTCAAACTTAAAACCTTGTGATTATCAAGTTCATAACCTGACTAAATTAAATAATTTTCAATAATATTAAAGACGACATAGTAATTAGTAACAACAAGCATAAGTACTTCTAAAGACGGTTGGATCTCAAAATTGGGGTACAATTCTTTTTACCTATAATCTTGCCATTTATAGCAGTTTAATTAGTAGGTGGTTACCTGCTAGGGTCAACGATGGTGTGACATTCATAACACCCAGAAAGCTTTCTGAACTGCATGGCTCTAGACGAGCCGCCGTAACTCGAACCGCCGTGTGATCTCGCCGCCGGCGCCGGCAAGGACGACCTGGAAGACGAGCCGCTGTTGGCGGCGCATCCGTTTTTCTTGCTGAGAAGCCGAGTCTCCTGGCCCAAGCTGCTGCTCTCTGGGGAGTTATCAGCTCGGTGAACCACCCGGCTAGTGTTCCCATGAACGACGTCTCTGAAGCTGCAGATTGAGCCGCAAGGGCCGCCGAGCACGTAGCCGCCGCCACCGCTCTTGGAGGGGTCGTGGACGGCGGATCCTTCCACCTGCTTGCACGTGAGCAGGCTCTTGAAAGAATCCCATGAAGACGGCGGCTTTGCCGGCTTCGGCTGCTGCTTCTTCGGATTCTGCAGGTGTTGTTTCCTCTTACGTTGTTGTTGTTTCTGGGTGTTTGGTTGTTGTTGTTGCTGTTTTTCTGGCGGTAAGAAAGTGAGGAGTGCCATAAAAAGAAGAGATTGAAAATGGAAGATGATAACGATCGAGTGTTCTTGGAGATCGAAAGAAGAAGTAGAAGGAGAATTGAAGCTCACTCTTTCATGTATGAGAAAGAGAGAGAGAGAGAGATGCTTTTTCGAGAGATTTGAGGGAGTGTTGGTTTCTTTAATATGAGTAGAGGGATCCGAGAATACGAAATAAGGAAGGAGATAACATATTAAATATGCCTCATGAATAGATACTACATTGTAATAGAGTCAGTAGCAAAAAAAAAAAAAAAAAATTAAAATTGTCCTCACATAGTCACATATAAATTTTTAATATGAGTAGAGGGATCAGTTTGTTATTTGCATTTGCTTAATTAATTAATTATTTGTTTTTTTTCTTTCTTTCTTTCTTCCACCTGCAGATTTATAGAAACTTCATAAAAGTGATAAAATTCGATCTTCTCGTAATTCAAGTTAATAAAGAATCACCAACTCGAATTGAGAAGGTCAATACATAATCGTTCTAATAAAAAATTAAACTTGAAATATTGTAGTTATTAATCTAAATTCAGACAAATTAAAATTGCCTCAAATTTCCTTTCTTCTATCTTCTTTTTATGTATGTGTGTGGGTGTTGTTAACCAATGATTATGTTCACTTTGTCTCATTTATGCCCCTAAAATCAAGCTTTTATGGTCTGTAATATTCTAATTTTGCTTTAGTGTTTGGCCTTTTATGTTCAGAACTTAACACCAAGACCAAGTCATCCCACTGCACCATTTTTTTATTTTTTATTTTTTCACACAGATATTCATTTTTTGCCGGATAGGATTAATCTAATAAGTGTCCAATTTGACGATTAATTATTTAATTTATTACTATAAAGAACTAATTAAGGACCTTCTTGCACTGTACGGAAGTTCATGTGACATCCGTGATCGATGCCTTTAACATTTGATGGATGGATCGGAGTTCAATTCCTCTGCAAATAAAATTTATATATATTCAAGTAGTCTGTGTTTTATACTCATTTAACTATAGTACACAAACACGAAGACAACCTAAAATGTTAAATATGGAAGTTAGTTGTTCATTTATATTCAACTTTATGTTTATTCTAACCAATTTTATTGTACATCTCATATGCCTATCAACATTGCAATGCACTTAGGACGGCATGCAATGCACTTAGGACGGCATGCTTACTTAGGTGAATGATACACACACACACACACACACACACACACACACACACATATATATATATATATATATATATATATATATATATATATATATATATATATATATATATATAATGGTAGAAAAATATAATTCTTCCAAACTTTGATTTAGTCGTCCTTATCCGAATGTGTGCAGCTTTTACAAGAAGTTAAACTTGTGATTTTGTGCACATAAGAGTGAAGGTGTGCCTAGTGAACACTCCCGAATAGTGATTGTGGGGTTCTCTGGTCACTCAAATAATAATAATAATAATAATAATAATAATAATAATAATAATAATAATAATAATAAAGATTTGCAAGGTTTGTGTAGTGGATGGGCTGAGGCATTTTAATTAAGGATTAGGTATTAATAAGCAATTAAGTTGGTGAGTGAAGACAGCATGTGGTGTGGGGGTTAGGACATATATATATGGAACCAGGAACCTGGCACGGCGTATAGTATGTATTATGTGAACCAAGTAACGTGCGGTCTTCAGTAACATGTTTTTTTCCTTTTTTTATTATTTGGTTGTTTTCTCCTTGTTTCCTTCCCTCTTGTCTTTCCTTCTTTCTCTTTACATAAAACTATCTCTGGACCATATAAGCTGTAACGGATCCCCATCACTTTTATTTCACACCTTATATATATATCCCATATGTTTTTTTTTTTTTTTTTTTTTTTTTTTAAATCGTCCGTCAGTCTTCTGTTTTCACTTCTGCGACAGTTCTGCCTGTACACTCTGATTACAAGGAATTTTTAAAACTTTTAATAAATTTTTTGGGCTGCTGGAACAAGACTTCTAAAGTGACCTTGAACAATTGAACAAAGCCCCGCGGGGCAATGAACCCCATTTTTTACATTAGTGGCTTTGCTTCTCTAGCTAGTTCACATGCGAAATTAAGGTGGCGTAGGAGATTATACACTATAGAGCTCATATTTTTTATAAAAAAATGATTTGTTTTCTCGAATGATGTTAAAAGTGTTGAAGCATCAATTTCTCAAATACAATAAATTACTACGATTTATTCGAGCATTCAAATAAATTAAATCATAAAGAGAATTTCAACAATAATGTGGGACTACGAGATATTTAGCGTGCACGCAGAGTGGCTTCCTTGAGACGGTGTGGAGTTGAAGTTTGTATGCATGGGATCTCTCGCTCTCTAAATTTGGCAGATAGTGATTGTTGAAATCCAAGCACTATCCTTCTATATAACATCTGTTTTTTAAAGGCAGGGGCCGGAAAATGAGACCAAATTAAATTGTGCCTCATATCACAAGCTAGCTAGCTAGCTTCATATCATCAACGCACTTAGTGTATATATATTGTATAGTGGAGGCCAGGCCAGGCCAGGGTCCTGCAGATTCCCAGGCCAAGCTAAACGAGAAGCGAAAACAGCCAAAAATATAATCATTTATATATGTATGTATTACTCCAAAAGTTGGAAGACTCATCACTTTCATCACTTTCATTATCTATATCCTCTTACATCAAATTCAACAAATGTCATCCTCATCTATTGCCGTAGATATAACCCCCCGGCTCGGATCGGACCGATCCAATAGGTTTTTGAGAATCAGTTAAATTAGTCTTATCATCATATACATTGTGAATGCATGTATAAAGAATTAACAATAATGTTATCTTCAATTATTCTTCATTCATTGCATACATACAACCCCCTTCAATTCAACAGTTGCATGGTACAGGGTTCGATTCCTCTAAGGAGCGAGAATTGAAGTATGTAATGGAGATATTGAACGCTTACAAGTTGAGAAAAACAAGCCCAAAAAAATTTGGGTCTGACCTCGACCTCTAGGTGAGGTTGGATAAGCTACAAAGGTCAGCTCCAGCGATGGACGAGACCAAGAGGTGTGTGAGGTCCATGGCAATTCTTGAAAGAAATGTGGTCAATGGGGTCGTTGGAACGTGCCCTATCAAATTGAACTTTGCTTGAAGTTTGTTAGGAGTTCTTGTATAATGCTATGTACATTTTATGACATTTATCTTGTTTTGTACATCAATATACAGATATTCAAGAACATATGAGTGACATTGAGATTTCTTTAATTAACTTCTTCCACCAAGTCTCCAAAGTAAGAGTACGTGGTAAGGAATGTGGTGCATATATATATATATATATATATATATATATATATATATATATATATATATATATATATATATATATATATATATATATATATATATATATATATATATATTAATTAGGCTTAGCACTTAGCTTAGGACGATGTGAGATGGCATGCAACATGCCAAGTTGACAAGAGAATTAAGAATTCTTGGCCAAGTCCAAGTATCTATATATAGTATGCTTCACTCTACAACTAACTAAAGTCCATCATCAAGAAAACAATTTATGGTTATGAAAGTCTTAACTCTCCACATGCACTTTTTGGGTACTCGTTGTTATCTAACTCTTATGGTTTAGCTCAAATTTGACCACTCACCTTAATCTGCTATATATTTTTAATATATTATTCATACCTAAAACATCATATGTGTGTGTATATATATACACACATGAATAATTCATATTAATTTTAAAAGTCGATGAGATGTGATTGATCATATAGTCAATATATATAATTCCCAATATATATCACCCTGCCTCATTACTCTCTCTTTATGTTCAACTGCCCACTGGTGGGTTATACTGTTGAGGTTTAATTAATTAGTAATTGATTTAAAGTCAAAACTGCTTGTTATTATTCCTTAACATTAACATTTAACTATACGATGTATGTGGTTGATACATATATAGGTGGGTCTGACTGTCTGAACCAGGTTCATATAAGGAATTTCCTAATCAGTTGATTAGTTGGTAATGCTGACCCATTTGTTGGAACACTAAACTGCATTTAAAATTTTTATTTGTATTTTAATTTTTAAAAAAGAAAAGGCACAGAATCAATGGCCTGGATTGTTTTGATTATTTAAATAAAAAGTACAGCATCTAAATCGGAGTGGTTAGGGGTCACTGGTCAGATGTCTCCATGTTTGATTAGGCAACCCATTCATCAACAAAGATGTTTTCCACCCAATATATACATTTCTTCCTTTTGATCCATCAAATTTATAAATTATAAGGAAACTTATAAAATGCTGTCCTTAATTTAAGGGAATTGTTTTGAAACAAAATCCGGGATTTGTGTAATACAAAACAATGGAACATAACATAAGAATTTTTGTGTTATCATTCTCCAAAAATGATTGTGCCATGCCCACTCCAAAAGGTTGTGAGGGGAGTGGCAGATTATAGGCAACAAAACACGGAAAACTTCATAAGGGTAAAGAGAGAAAAAAAAAAAAAAAAAAGTAGGAAGTTACTAGCTTATTTTGAAACCAGAACTTATAAGCTAACTGTTACAAAGATAGAGATGAGAAAGAAGGCTTAGCTTAAATTCATCTCATATTACCCTCCTGCAGAACATCAATCATGTCGTAAATCCGCTGGTTGGCTTTAGATTTGACCTGCAACCATAGCACGTTTCATATCTGTAGTTAGATAGATGTTGATCATTAATTATATGCATAAAAAATACAGAGCAGGCAGAACAATAATTCATCATGCTCTTAATAGATTATAATTGTTGTGTCATGTGTGATGTGTGTGCCTTGAAGTAGAAGAAACTGACGGGCGATGACAGAACTAATACACGCAACTACTCGTAAACAAATTCAAACCGAGATGGAAGAGTTACTACAACCTTATTTGCAAGGAAGAGAACAGCATCGACAGTACCCTCAGCATATACCGATCTTCCACAAACATTATGCTGAAATTCAAAAGATACCCTGCGAACGAGCATGGGGATCCGACAAGTTAGAAATCGAACAATATAGAATGGGAGAGGAGGAAGGGTTGAGCAAGGGGTATTCCTAAAACAAACAGAAGAGGATTAGAGGTCAAAGCTTTGAGATGAGGCATTACGTCCCATCAGGTGAGGTCAGATGATACGAGTGGAAAGCATGACCAGATAAGTGTTCCTTTGGGACACCAACCATCTTAACTTGTTGCTCTGGGTCGCGTATTTGTTCTACCTATTAAATGATAAACAAGAAAGTTAAGATATATGATTAGTGGTATGTGTTATTGACTTGTAGCTATTAACTTATGAAGTGAGGATGACAGAAAAACCAAATGATAATTATAATGATGGAGAAATAACAACTACAATAGTAATAATAATAATAATAATAATAATAATAATAATAATAATAATAATAATAATAATAATAATAATACTAAACTGAAAGTATAGGCTATGAAAGGTATATTACAGCAAATAGCTAGTAATCCCTACTTTAGAAGTAGGGATCTAAATAAAATAAGTTATCTAAATCAAATGTTTAATAATGAACCAACCTACTATTATAGTTTCAAGAAAGATCTAGGCTTTATGTTAGAAACTATATCTATTTTAATCCAAAGTTAATACAGAGTACTCGAGATTTCTAGTTACTATTTGCTAATAGAACAAAAGAAAATGGGATTTTCCACAATCTCATTGTGCACCATAAATACAGTACACTAACCTGATCCAAGTCAAAAGCGATCCCTAATCTCTGAAAACATGATATGACAGCTTTGGCAGTCCCGGATATGTCCAATTTGCTAACTTGATGAGACTCCATCACCTAATCATGTTTACAGAAGGGAACAATCAGAACTCTAAATGGCATAACTTTTCAAATAAGATTATTTCGAGTACTTAACAATTAATATTTTGAGATAGAAAAATCCTCAAGGGAAAACAGTCAACTTTCCAGTGTGTAGTCATGATATTAAAAGTAAGATAGTTTAGCAATTAAGCAAATATGAATATTACAGAGAATCAAATTATAGAAATAGAAGTGGTACAACTGGTAATACAGCAATCATGTGTGCAATGCACAGTTAAACAGAATACCGTATCATCTATTGACTGTAGGGAATAAGGAGATTTATTTAGGATGCATTCCAGTTTCAAGTCAATTCAGTATTTGTTAAGACCATTCGTGATTTCTTGTATGAAGTAAAAATTACCTTTTCATTGCAAAGGATCTCTATCCAGCAACACAAGTTACTTTCAATTATAAGCCTCCGCATTTTAATGTAATAAATAAAAAGTAAATGGTATGGACAGAAAACAATAATCTATGTGGTAGTGAAGACTGAGAAGTTGAAAGGTTGTTTTCATCCTGGAGTTAACACTATGAACTCACTTTTCTTTCCAACGGCCTCATCTTAGAATATTCACTCAGCTAGGAATAAAAGAGAACACTACTAATGATTCACAGCAGAGGGAAAATAAAGATACCTGTAGTTTATACCCAGAGAAAGCGCCTGGAAATTTCTCTGCCATTATTTCCATGGCTGCAAGAAACGCAACAACCTATAGCACCAAGTAGATTATAAGAAATTCAATGAATAGACGGAAGGATGTCAGATTTTAAACTTTAAAAAGCACTAGAGTCAATACCTGCTTTCCCATTTGCGGGGAGATCACAGCATAGTTATTAGAGTCTGACACTGTTTTATACAAAGCCTTCCTGTCTCCACCAGTCGTTCCCATCACAAAAGGAACTCCAACTTTGCAATACAACTCTGCATTATCTGTATGTGCAGCGAAGCAACCAAAAACATAAAAAAGAGAAATCCAGAAACAACACATTCTTAAATATTGATTGCAGGAATAATGACCATCTCATGGTTGAGGACTAGAGATGATAGCATAACTTCCACAAAATCAAAGCACTAAAAGAAATAAAATGATTGCAAAGAGAGAGAAGATTTTTTTTTTAGTACTACTGACTCTGTTACAATGCAGTATCTATTCATTATATAAGCATGATGTTAAGTAAAATTGAACACCAGTTAAGTACATGCATCCCAAAACAACACATTCCTTCCCTCGTCGAAGTTCCTATACGTTACAAGAACATACCGTTCACAGAAGCAGGAACTGTGTAATCCACCACAACTAAATCCGGATGTTCCTCAAAGATTGATGAAAGAGTGCTCTCTCTGTCAGAGGGACCATGCAATGTAATCTCCTTTTCACCTACATGTACAATCTTTCCTGAATTTCCCAGACCACTAAATGCCACAGGGACAGGCTCAAGTCCCGCAGAAATGGCAGCTTCAAGAACTGCCCTTCCCATTTTTCCAGTACAACCGTTCACCTAAACAAATGATAAAAACAATATGGAATAACATGCTTGATTAAACTTTGCATTTGGCAGCAAAAATACAATTTTACGTCTAATTCAGGTATCAAATATTTTGATAATGCAACATACAGTACTATTGCACAAAAGGTACAGTATTCTGTATTCAGTAACTGCAAATAAAATAAAATTTCCGAGAAATTACAAACATATGCAAAAATGCAAGATCGGGTTCAACAAGAAGGTACCATTATTGGAATCGCTTTCTTCTGCGATTTAGTTGACGACGATTCCTCGAGGCTCTGGAATGGCGCACCGGAGTGGGAAGAGCACATTTTAACCGAAGATTTTTTCCTTCTGATAAAGCTATCACTAGCTCTATTGCTCGTACTCGTAAAAATGGAGTTACAAGGTCCTCCAACGGTATCCACCGGAAGTTTAATCACAAACGCCATGGATAGCCGGTAATTAATTCGAAAAATACAAATGCATTTAGATCATAGGAAGATGAGCAGAGCTGAGAAACTTGCCGCCATTGACGGAGGTCGGAGGAAGAGAGTGGAGTCAACGTCTGCCAATGATTGGGCTTCTTTGACGAATTTAGCCCAATAATGGGTCCATCCCAAAATACCCCATTCTTTAATTTCTGCCCAATTTTGTTATTGAAAAGAATGGCAAATTATACTATCAACCATGATTGTTTTCAAAAAAAATACTATCAACCATGATTTACAATTTTACATTGCATCGACAATTTATAAATGTTCATTTTTAACATTTTGAAGGTTTATTTTTAATATACAAAAAGATCATTTTTAAGTATTATATCTCTTTTTTTTTTAATTTATATTTATTAAGATCAAATACTTATTATTATGCTAAAAACTATAGTTAGTAGTAAAATTGTAACTTTATTTCTTTGTTTAAGTTAACGTCATGTTTTAGTGGTTTCCAAATCGTCACTAAAAAATGAATTTGTAGTACATTAAAAATAAATATTAAAAAATAAACATTCAATGTATTAAAAATAAACCTCCAATATATAAAAAATGAACCTTATGCAAATACTCACTTTACCTTATAAGGTGAATCGTGATCTATGATTCTCTTTGACATACCTAACTCATACGCTAGCCGACAAGTTAATAGCTGAAGTTGAAAAGCTAGTAGCTAATAAAGTCAACTGGTTAAAGTTAAAATATTTAGGCTCTGTTTGGCAACGCTAAGCTAGGAACTTATAGCTTATTTTAAGCTACTAATAAGCTATAAGCTCCGTTTGGTAATGTTCCCAAAATAAACTCCTAGCTTAAAATAAGAGCTTATTTTGGAACGCTACTTTAGGTAGCGTTTCAAAATAAGCTACTAGCTTCCTAACTTTTTTTCCATCTTTACCCTTATTATTTTAAAGTAATGACATATTTTAACCTTATGAATTAAAACCCTTTCTATTCCCCTATCCCAACTTTCACGTCAATCTCTTCCTTAGTCTTGTTTCATGCTAAACAATTATGTTGAAACTTTAGCTTATTATTATTATTATTATTATTATTATTATTATTATTATTATTATTATTATTATTATTATTAATGTTAATGTTATTTTAAAATTAGCAATATGGCTTCAATCTCAAATTGAACAAGAACCGCCAACTAATGCTCAAGAAGCATTCAATCGTACACATTCTTCTTTTCGAAGTTGTATTGAGAGGTCGTTTGGAGTATTGAATAAGAGATGGAAGATACTTGCTAAAATGCCGCAGTTTAGTGAGGAGACCCAAATTGATGTTATTATGGTCACATTTGCACTACATAATTATATTCGGAAGAATTCACAAGATGACATTGATGTTTAATGTGCTTGAGCAGCATCCAGATTACATACCGCCCGATGAACTTCAAGATTCAAGTAGTAATATCTCCATCAAAGAAAATTTAAGTCACACCTCTATGGAGATGAAGGAGATTCGCAACAATATTGCTACTTCATTATGGGATGCAAGATCATGATCATGCTAATAGTTTTATTTTAAAAAGTGTTTACATTTTTTAGAAGACGAAATGTTAAATTTTAATATGTAAACAAACTAATTTAAATTTTATAAAGATGTCCCTTTTAGTCTTTTTACATTTATCAGCTTATCAAAAAGTTAATTTTACCAAACACTTTCAATCATAACAGCTAGCTTAACAGCTCTTCAATTTTCAGCTCCGAGCTTATAGCTTTTCAACTTTCAGCTCCTTTTCAGCTATCAGCTCCTAGCTTATAGCTTTTCAGCTAGGTTTGCCAAACAGAGCCTTAATAAAATTATATGTTGAATAAGATGATAAGTGTAAAAAGACATAAAATAACATTTTTATAAATTTACATTTCAAATTTAAATATTAATATATATTGCAGTTTAAACTATATATATATATATATATATATATATATATATATATATATATATATATATATGATTTAACTTCTTATAATAAAGTAACAATTTTTGGATTTAATTTTTGTATATTTTAAAATATGTTATTAAATAGATTAAAGATATAATGTTTTAATATATTATTTCATACTATCTATTTGCTTTAGTCTTATTCATTCATTAAATTAAATTAAATATTTAAATAGAGAAATTATTTTTTCAATCTATACTATATACAAAAACAAAATCCTGAAATTTTAACTTCCCGCCCAATTCCTAAAAAATCTCTCTTCCTAATAAAATATATTGATTTCTACGTACTTTCCCATTCGTACAATAATTCTGCGTTAAAATTCTATTCTAATATTATAAAATAGTGTAATACAATCTATACTATATATAAAAACAAAATCCTGAAATTTTAACTTCCCGCCCAATTCCTAAAAATATCTCTTCCTAATAAAATATATTGATTTCTACAATAATTCTGGGTTAAAATTTTATTGTAATATTATAAAATTGTGTAATACTATTCCTATTCTAATCTATATCTATTTTATATATCAGTGTTGCAAAAATCTTGTCGCTGGCCGCGGCGAGCAAGGCCGGAATCGGCCTCCTCAGCGGCCGCCTCGCGGGCTGAACCGGCCTTTAATTTTTTTTTTTTTTTTTTTTAAGTTTTAAAGTGTCAAAAGTTCGCAAGACATCATTTTTGACTCCGTTGTCCGTTTTGGACAAATGTTTTTTTGAAATCGCGTAATTTTTGAGATCTATCCACCGCAAACTGCCGTAGGCGGTTTGGCCCACCAATTTCTAAAAAAAAAAAAAATACTTTATTAAAGAGTTTCTAAGAAAAAACTATGAGAGCCTTATGTTTTATTAGTGAGTTTTTAAAATTTTTAATTAAACATTTGTCCTGTGCATTATTTAATAATCTTTCTTTATAATTGGTCAAATTATTTAATTATGGTAAATTTGGGAATAATTAATGATGGTAATAGAAATCCTAGAAGAACATAGAATTGAACAATATTTAATTATTGTTATATTATTATTGTGACTCACGGAATACAAGAGTTAATGCCATTTTTGGTCCTAGACTTATTGGGGCATTGACACTTTTCATCCTTCATAATAAAAATTGCCACTTAGTAGCCACTGTTATTGATCGTTGGACAGTTTTGATCCTCCGTCAATGATGTCGTTTGTTGACCGTGAATTAGAAGGGGTTTTCTATCTTTTTATGTTCTAATCCTTGTATTTCTCCATCCATTGGTCACTGCTACATCCATTTCTTCAAACTGAGGTTATCCGCTTCAGTCCTTTCTAACATTAAGAAACCATCTTCACCCAACTAACAATCACGAATTTTACATTTGACATCAATCTCAAGATAATGGAAACAAGTGCAGTTGGAATAGAAAGGGCGTTAGTCCATGCTTGTGGAAATTTTGTCGAGCATACAACATAACTAGCAAAGTCAGGAATATCACCCAACCCCTCCCCTAACCTTTATGCATCAACTATAATAGGTATGCCCTTACTCTTTGCCTCCTGCACTACAATCAAAGCAGTCTCATGCAGCCTTCCATCTAAGTAGACAATATTTACTCCAAGCGCTGAAGACAATTTTGATTTGGGTATGTAGACCCTCAGATATCATGGGTAGATATCCTGGAGTGAAAATGCACGTGCGAGTTTTTTTTTTTTTTTTTTTTTTTTGGTTGTCAACAATGAAATATGTGAATGGTGAGTTTCCTCCTTTGGACACCACCATAAAAGATGTATCAACACCATCCCTTTCAAGCTCATCAAGTATTCTTTCGCCATGCGAGTCATCAGCAACCTTAGATATGATCCTTGGATTAAGACCAAGACAAATTTTATCATTCGGGTTTTATCAAAGCATTGCCAGTGTTACCACCTCATTGAACCTCAAAGCTGGTGCTCCAAATTTTATCATCCGGGTTGGGGAATGAAGCTACAGCAGCCAGGAAGTCAACACCGGCCATTCCAACACCTCAGACAATGCGATTTTTGGGGAGCGGCGGATTTCACATTTTCAGCTTGAAACTTCAATGAATTTCAAGTAGAATAACAGAGTAGAGTTTTTGAGGTTGTGCACCAAGTAGTTGTGGTCAGAGAGAGAGAGAGAGAGATGGGAAGGATATTTGTGGTCAATATGGAAGGGAGGACTTACAGGTGCAAATTCTACATCACGCCATCTACAACTACAACTGCTTTTTACCATAGGAGGGTTCGCCGACCTGCTGCCCTCTCTGCTTCGCCAGAACCAAAAACCACTGGTGAAGGCCCCAGCCTTGCCGGATCTGTTGCTGCACCGCCAGATCTGCCTTACTGGTCCGTCGCCGGAAGGATTTACTGCCTCGTATGCTCGCCTCCGTACCCACAACTCGCCAGAGAAGAACCTCGCTGCTACTCACTACCGACGGTTACTACTTAGCCGCCAAGTCTCGCCATCTCGCCTCACAGGACTCACAACAGCGCTGGTCTAAACAAGATTAGAAGAATAAGACATAAAAAGACAGAAAAACCCTTCTAATTCACGGTCAACAAACGGCTTCATTGACGGATGATCAAAACTGTCCAACGACCAATAACAGTGTCTACTAAGTGGCAATTTTTATTATGGAGGATGAAAAGTGTCAATGCCTCAATAAGTCTAGGACCAAAAATGGCATTAACTCCGGAATACAATACAAGAATATTTAATTATGGTTATATTATTATTGTGCCTCACGACCATTATATACTAACAGTACTTGAAAAGAAACTAATAATACTAATAATAATAATATAGTAATAATATAAGTGGTAATAATAATATCTAAAAGTAATTAAGTGTTAATAATAATAGTAAGAATATTAACGTAAGAGTTAGTAACATAGAATAAATTGTAATAATTAATAACTATAGTCTAGGATTAAATTTGGAATTGTCAGGAAAGATAAACGACCTCTGGTGAAATTAACTCTTAAATAATTATATATCGATTTAAATATTTTTAATATATTACAACAATTCCATTCCGTGCATCGCACGGGTGAAAATACTAGTATTAGATAATAATAGAAGGCACAAAATGTTCTAAAAGTAATTAGA